TATTACTTTCCCAAAGTCAGTCATCATGAATGAGGAGCAGCAGACAGTCTGATCCTCATCTAGGACAAAGACAAATGGTCTTAAAGTGGCGACAACACTCCTGATTGTGTGTGTGTGATTGTGTGTGTGTGTGTGTGTGTGTGTGTGTGTGTGTGTGTGTGTGTGTGTGTGTGTGTGTGTGTGTGTGTGTGTGTGTGTGTGTGTGGTGTGTGTGTGTGTGTGTGTGTGTGTGTGTGTGTGTGTGTGTGTGTGGGTGGGTGTGTGTGTGTCACCCTGCCATGGCCCCAGACAGGCTTTTGTCAAAGTGGGAACACGGGTGGCGACACACAGCAGCTGACAGAAGGACACAGGAGTCTGTTTAGAGAGGCGACAGGAATGTAGTGACCCACAGAGGAACGCCACTAATCAGTGTGTGTGTGTGGGGGGGGGGGGGGGGGTGGGTGTATGTGTGTGTGTGTGAGGTGGCTGGTCAGACTTGGGTAAAGCTTAATACACGAGACAATTTGTATGCATTAGGGAAAATCGTCTTTGATCTATCCCAGACCACGATAACAAATCCCTGAATCCTGAATTAGAAGTGTGTGTGTGTGTGTGTGTGCGTGCGTGCGTGCGTGCGTGCGTGCGTGCGTGCGTGCGTGCGTGCGTGCGTGCGTGCGTGCGTGCGTGCGTGCGTGCGTGCGTGCGTGTGTGTGAGGTGGCTGGTCAGACTTGGGTAAAGCTTAATACACTGGTTTCGTCCCCTCAGCCACTTGTATCCCTGATACAGACACTATGCATTTTTCCAGTCATGGTTATCCTGCTTTAAATTATTCACACTATAACCCAGTAATTGTCTAAATATACTTACACAAAGCCACTTAAGCACTTTAAGTAACTTTGCATTTAATTGAGCTGGGTTTATGGTTCAAACAGGACCTTGAAATCCACAAAAGCTTCAACATGTTTTGAGAAACATTCAAACAGTTCTTGGAAAATACTTAATTTGTTTTACTTATCATTAACAAATAGACTACACTTCACTGTCGACATGTTTATCGTTCATTCCTGTGGTGGGTTTTTTAATCTGCATCAGGAACACGTGGACTGTATCGCAGTGACACACAAGGAACTCATCTGAAAATAAGGCCAGCATCTTAAATACTGAACATTTGACATCAGGGAAAAATCGTCTTTGATTGATCCCAGACCACGATAACAAATCCTGTGTGTGTGTGTGTGTGTGTGTGTGTGTGTGTGTGTGTGTGTGTGTGTGTGTGTGTGTGTGTGTGTGTCTGTGTGTGTGTGTGTGTGTGTGTGTGTGTGCGTCTGTGTGTGTGTGTTATCTCCCAGTCTGCAGGTGCAAGGCTGAATCTGGGAGGTTGCTCATTTTAACATCGTAGTCAACAAAAATCTCCTTTGTCATCGCTGACAGCGCCTGCACGTCCTCAAAATCCCCCGTTTAAATGACTTCTGATGTCATTGCATGTAGCCGACGCCCATTTACAATGTGTGCAATCGAAGATACAAACTCAAAACAGCAAATGTACAGTGGCTTTCTGTTTGCCAAGTAAGATATGTACACTTTCTTCTGTCCTGATATCGATGGGGAACAAATGGTTTCACCATTTTGGAGCTCGGATTGCAATAGTTGTGTTTTTTTCAGCAAGCTGTACACTGCTCTCTTAGTACACTGCCATTTCATGCACTGTGATTTGTGTGTGTGAATTTTTGACTGAGTAGCGGGTCTAAGATCTAGCGGGTCTAAGATGGCATCAGCTCCACATCCCTCAGTAGACTCCAGCATGTCCAGAGCGCAGCCTCCAGACTCCTCACCCACACCAAATCATGGCATCACATCACCCCGGTCCTCAAAGAACTCCACTGGCTCCCCGTCTCTCACCGCATCCACTACAAACTCCTGGTCCTCACTTTCAAAGCCCTCCACCATCTGCCCCCCCCCCCCCCCCCCTACCTCACTGACCTCCTCATCCTCTACCAACCACCCCGGACCCTCAGATCCACCTCAGCCGGTTTGCTTTCCATCCCCAAGGCCAAACTCCGGAGCTTCGGGGACAGAGCCTTCTCTGTGGCAGCCCCGAAGCTCTGGAACTCCCTACGTCAACTCTGTATCCATAAGCCCCCCCCCTCTCAATCAACTTCCTCCTGACTGCTTTTCTGTTTTGTTTCTTCGTTTCTTTTTAGTTTTGTTTTAGTTTTGTTTGTCTACCCTCCTTCCCAAATGTAAAGCATCTTTGGGTTCAAGAAAAGCGCGATAGAAATACAATTTATAATTATTATTATTAAGATCACACATAGCCGCTCTCACTGGAAGTGACAATTGCCGGCATCAGCGAGCTACCTAGCAATCTGTTTGTGTGTTGAAGCAAATCATTAAAGACTGCTTGATTAACCCCAGAAAAATAATGGTGGCAAGTGTGGTATTATGTTTATTTAATGTAACCTAATGTTAAGTAGCCAAGGTGAGGATGAGAAGCATTAATGTCATGGTTTGGTAACCTGATTTTAAGGAGCAGAAACTCTCTGAGTCCGATCATAAAGTGGTCCAGCAGACTGATTGGTGAGCCACAGCTAAACCTGGAGACCCTGTACCTCAGGCAGTGATAACCCTGGAGACCCTGTACCTCAGGCAGTGATAAACCTGGAGACCCTGTACCTCAGGCAGTGATAAACCTGGAGACCCTGTACCTCAGGCAGTGATAAACCTGGAGACCCTGTACCTCAGGCAGTGATAAACCTGGAGACCCTGTACCTCAGGCAGTGATAAACCTGGAGACCCTGTACCTCAGGCAGTGATAAACCTGGAGACCCTGTACCTCAGGCAGTGATAACCCTGGAGACCCTGTAGCTCAGGCAGTGATAAACCTGGAGACCCTGTACCTCAGGCAGTGATAAACCTGGAGACCCTGTACCTCAGGCAGTGATAACCCTGGAGACCCTGTAGCTCAGGCAGTGATAAACCTGGAGACCCTGTAGCTCAGGCAGTGATAAACCTGGAGACCCTGTACCTCAGGCAGTGATAAACCTGGAGACCCTGTACCTCAGGCAGTGATAAACCTGGAGACCCTGTACCTCAGGCAGTGATAAACCTGGAGACCCTGTACCTCAGGCAGTGATAAACCTGGAGACCCTGTAGCTCAGGCAGTGATAAACCTGGAGACCCTGTACCTCAGGCAGTGATAAACCTGGAGACCCTGTAGCTCAGGCAGTTAAAGCGGTTATCCAGCTCCATATTAGACGATGACTCCACCCTCTGCACTCAGAATTCAAGCTTCTTCCTTCGGGCCGCAGGTTACTCGTCCCAAGGAGTAGAACGAAGCGGTATAAAAACAGTTTTATCCCAGCAGCTATTGCACAAATTAACACATCAGAGGAGCGTCACACAGATGCCTATTTGTATTTATTTATTTAATTGTGAATTTTGAATGTCCATGTTTGTACTAGTGTTTTCCTTCTTAAAATGTTTTAAAAACATTTTGAGCAGGGTATACTTGTACTTTTACTAGTCCTTTTATTAGAGATGTGTCTGTTTGTGTTTGTTTTTAGTGCCAGGATGGACCCCTTGTCTTTTTCTCTGCAAACAGAATCTACCTACGGGTACAAATAAATAACCTGAACCTGAACCCAGGCAACTTTTTGTCCATACTCATAGTGCTTTACATGTATATCTAAAATGTTTTGCTTTGGGAGACACGTTGGCCCTTAAATGTAGGTACAGAAGTACTTGATTCCAGAAGCAGAATTCCTTTATTAGCCCCGTACAGCGTTGCAGAAAAAGTGACATGGCAGATAAGAGGCAAGCCATAACAAAAGTAGCTAACATGATATTTAAGATACATCATATGTTTGAACCGTGTCGATGTGAGAAGGGCCGGATGCATTCACAGCCATAAGGCCAGTCGAGGGTCTTAATAATAATAATACATGACACTTATATCGAGCTTTTCTAGAAACTCAAAGACGCAAAGTGGATTCGGGCAGGAAAGGGAGGCGTTGTGATGTTATTTGATGTCTTCTTAACTCTGTGTTCAGATGGTGCTTCTGGCTCGCTTATAATAATGGGAATAAAATGCAAATCCAATTAAAGTGTGGGCTGTTGCTTTTAAGTTGGAGTCTCCAACCACATCATTTAAACTCATTAAACACGTCGGGCTTTTCTTTTGTTGCATGAAGGAGAATCGTTGCCGTAACTTTAATGTCTGGTGTTTTATAGAGTGGTGCAGTGACGCGTCCTAAAACCCGGAAGTATAATCATCATAAATCGAATCGATAGAAAATGATAAAAGTAGGGTAGACATGTGGAGATGATCCGGCTGAACAAAACGTGATCCGTCTCTTAAAGGATTTCGACCACAGACCTTATTCCCAGCTATTTTCCTAAACCCTATGGAGAATTGCATTGCTTTTTTGTCGAAGGAACCGGAAGGAGTTTACTTCCTGGTTTTAGGATGCGTCACTGCACCACTCTATACGCGTGCATCATCTCAGTGTCTCACTCTTTAAATGCTGTTGAACTGAAAGCAGTATTGAGGTTCATTGCTAATCTAAAGGCCCTTACTTCTCATTATCACCACAATAAATCGTATTTAATTTAGTCTTAATGCACATTATTCAATTTCACATTCTGTTCTTGTACATATCATATTCTATTGACATGTATATAGACTTCTTGCACTATTTTTATTTTGTATTTTTGTATTTTATTCTATATGTTGCATCGATGGAGGAGCTCAGGTCAGAAGAATGTCATTGCCATGTCTACACTGAAGCTTTGAGCATATGACAATAAAACCTTTGAATCTTGATGAAATCATGCATCTGAAATGTCCTGAAAGCTACTGTCTCCTACTGTTGTTATCATTCTACAATAACGTTATATAATGTGGTGAAATGTAGACATTTTACTGCATAATAGGGGCCTTTAACTCTGTGTTTCGGAGAGGAAAGGGAGTCGTTGTAATGTTATTTGATGTCGTCCTAACTCTTCTTCCTGCTGTGTTCAGATGGTGCTCCTGGCTCGCTGCGAGGGTCACTGCAGCCGCTCCACACGCTCAGACCCGCTCATCTCCTTCAGCTCGGTGCTCAAACAGCCCTTCAAGAGCACCTGCTCCTGCTGCAGACCCCACTCCTCCAAGCTGAAGGCGGTGAGGCTGCGCTGCTCCGGAGGAACAAGGATCACCGCAACGTACAGATACATCCTCGCATGCAACTGTGAGGAGTGCAGCTGAGGAACTCTCAAACCATTCCTCTGTTGGCCTCGAGACTCAAAGCTGTCTGGAGATCTTTGGATTGGAAAATAATCGACAGATCGGCTCGAAACTCTATCTTGGGAGATGGATAGTGACCTTTAAAACTGACCTGGGACTCAGAACACTCGTTATTATGTGCTTTCAATCATTTGTCCACAAACAACTATCTGTCTGGAGCTCTTTGGATTGAACAAATCGACGGGTCGGCTCGAGATCTATCCATCTATCTTGGGAGTTTGGATAATGATATTTAAAACTGACCTGAGACTCAGAACCCTCTTTACCTTCTGCATTATTATCACTTTTTGTCTGTTTTCATGGTGTTCGATTGTCAATTTGAAAATACCAGAAGGAAAAGGTTGTGCACAGATTGAACTACAAAACTAATCAGTCCAATATATAAATCGGAAAATCGACGGCGGCTCGAGACACATCCTTTACTCAAGTAGAAGTACAGATACTCGTGTTTAAAAATACTCTGGTAAAAGTAGAAGTACTGACTAAACTTCTTTACTCAAGTCAAAGTAAAGAGGCTTTGAAATGTACTTCAGTAAAAAGTCCCCATAACTAGCAGCAGTTTTAAAGAGTACCTGACCTCCCTTTATATTAATAGAACAATAATGTCATTGTTAGCTAATGAATGTTTCCATGCTGAACAACGGCACCATGACAACGTTTCCATTGGTTCCTCTTCTTTAGAGAAGACCAGGAAATGATGGATACACGGATCGTGTTCAAATCAATAGGCACGCAATGACTCTAACGAATAATGATCACGCATCAAACACACATTCAAACTAAAGGAACCAGCTGTTTGGGAAATGAGAGAAGTAGAAAGTACAAGTATTTGAGTTCAACATGTAAGAAGTAGAAAGTACAGGTATTTGAGTTCAACATGTGAGAAGTAGAAAGTACAGGTATTTGAGTTCAACATGTAAGAAGTAGAAAGTACAGGTATTTGAGTTCAACATGTAAGAAGTAGAAAGTACAGGTATTTGTGTTCAACATGTAAGAAGTAGAAAGTACAGGTATTTGAGTTCAAATTGTAAGAAGTAGAAAGTACAGGTATTTGTGTTCAACATGTGAGAAGTAGAAAGTACAGGTATTTGGGTTCAACATGTAAGAAGTAGAAAGTACAGGTATTTGAGTTCAAAGTGTAAGAAGTAGAAAGTACAGGTATTTGAGTTCAACATGTAAGAAGTAGAAAGTACAGGTATTTGAGTTCAACATGTGAGAAGTAGAAAGTACAGGTATTTGGGTTCAACATGTAAGAAGTAGAAAGTACAGGTATTTGAGTTCAACATGTAAGAGTAGAAAGTACAGGTATTTGTGTTCAACATGTAAGAGTAGAAAGTACAGGTATTTGTGTTCAACATGTAAGAGTAGAAAGTACAGGTATTTGGGTTCAACATGTGAGAAGTAGAAAGTACAGGTATTTGAGTTCAACATGTAAGAAGTAGAAAGTACATGTATTTGTGTTCAAAATGTAAGAAGTCAAAGTAAAAAGTCGTCAGAGAAATAAGTAGTGGAGTAAAGTACTGATACCAGAAATATGTACTTAAGTACAGTAACGATGTATTTCTACTCCACTACTTCCCCCCTCTGATGACTTTTAAAACTGACCTGGGACACAGAACACTCTTTTCTCTCTGCATTATGTACTTTCAATCACTTCTCCACAAACGTTTGCACCAGGAGCTCTCCTCGCTCATTACAGGCCTCCATAATTCATAACACACATGTAACCGCAGTCTGAGAGCTCCTTACAACTATCTGTGCCATAAAGAAAACCCATCGTGCACCACGACGATCGTTAACAAAAAGCAGCATGGGGAAAAAAAGGATGAGACGTGTGGTGCGATTTCACCTGCGAGAAATCCCCCAATAATGTTTTACACACTCCCTGCAGACCGTTATAAAACGTGAGTGAGGCTGACAGGTGAGGAAGAGGAAGAGGAGGAAGACTGGTCGTTTAAATGTAATCTATTCTAATTGTGATGTTTCCTGTACTACTTTATTGAAACTGTAGCTTCTGCCTGTCGTGTATCGTTACTGATGTTTTCACTCTCCTGTCAAAATACAGTCGCACTTCAAACATATGGTTCATTCAGTGTGTGTGTGTGTGTGTGTGTAGGGGGGTGGCTGTGTGTGTGTGAGTGTGTGTGTGTGTGTGAGTGTGTGTAGGGGGGTGGATGTGTGTGTGTGAGAGTGTGAGTATGTGTGGGAGTGAGGGTGTGGATGTGTGTGTAGGAGTGAGTGTGTGTGTGTGTGTGTGTATGAGAGTGTGTGTGTGTGGATGTGTGTGTGTGTGAGTGAGTGAGTGAGTGTGTGTAGGAGTGAGTGTGTGGATGTTTGTATGTGTATGTGTATGTGTGAGTGTGTGGGGTTGAGTGTGTGTGTGTGTGTGTGTGTGTGTGTGTGTGTGTGTGTGTGGTGTGTGTGTGATGTGTGTGTGATGTGTGTGTATGGGGGTTAGTGTGTGCGTGTGTGTGTGGATGTGTGAGTGTGTGTGAGTGTGTGTATGGGGGTGAGTGTGTGTGTGGATGTGTATGTGTGAGTGTGTGTGGATGTGTGTGTGTGTGTGAGTGTGTGTATGGGGGTGAGTGTGTGGATGTGTGTGTGTGTGTGAGTGTGTGCATGGAGGTGAGTGTGTGGATGTGTGTGTGGCGGGAATACGTCTGAAAACATCAATGCTTGCTGTCCGTTTATCTGAATTAAAGGAAGAACAACTCACCAATTGTGGTTTCTTTTATTGTAAACACTTCAATTTTACAACACCACAAACTTGTCCGCATTTATTTTGAATTTTAAGAAACTAATGTTGGGTTTTATGGGCCAAAAGGCCACTTTAATTTAGATTGTTTGTGCAACTCAATACCTGATATCATGGTGTTAGATTGTGAATTTGAAAAGAAGAAAAACGTTGTGCACGAATTGAACTACAAAACGTATTTGTCAAATATTTAAATAATTTTCAAATCGCTCCAACTCTTAACGATAAAAACCATGAACTACATGGAGAGATAATAATAATAATTATAATCTTAATGCTAATAATTTCAAAGCCTGAACATCAAAAATGGGGTTTGATTTGACTTGTTTGACTTACGTAAAGAGGAATGGGTTATCCTCTTAAGCCCCAAGCCTGTTTTTCAGGTTTCAGGCTCGAAAATGACATTCCCAGAACAAATGACCATATCTTCCCTTCTAAAAGGGTTAAATTAATAATCTTTTTTCTCAAAGTAATGATAAACCTGTGAGTTGGATGTAGAAAAGTCAGAATCAATATAGATGTTTTTTATTTAAAAAAAAAATTCAGATTGAAAATAGTAAAAAACTGTAAATTATATTGTCCGTCCAAAAGATATTTTGTACTTATAGTGAAAACTAACCTTGGATGATGGGTTAGTAGACTAAAAGCTTTAGGAATCCAAAGTACAACATATAATAAGTACCCTGTATCAAGATTGATGCAAAACAAGTGATATTTGACATTTTTAGACAGATTTAGCAAGAAAACCCTCTTTTGGGGCCATTTGGGTGGATTTTCCTTATCTCTGGCCCCCCTTCTTCGATTTTGACATGTGACATCTCTTTCTGACCGTTAGAGCCAATAGAATCGAAGGGAAATCGTCCCTCACACACTCATGTTAAAAAAGGTTTCGTCTTTGCGCATTCAATCTTGCTACAGAGCGTAGGAATGGCCTGCTCTGATGTTTGAAAACGGAATTGCAGTTTTATTACTTATAGATTATCAGAACATGTCAAAGGGGACACAGCCACATTGGATATTAACCTATGGATTAACTACAGCATCGTTGTTATCGTTTTAATTCCATTGAAGACCAGTTTTGACCAGACAAAACCAAGGTAAACCATGTTAGCGTTGTAGGCTACCTAGCGCCACATGTTTTGATGTACATTTTTGTTGATAATGTCACGAGTTTGTATCTTTCAGTGTTGAGGTGGGCACCGTTAGATTCTGTGTCTCCTTACGATCATAAACGATGTGTTGGATGTGCAGCTAGGATAAGTAATAAGGGAGCTAGGAGTGATTTTCGGTGCAGTAATAGGCTAGCATTTTTCGCTCGGGGCTAATTCAGAGGCTCGCTGTTAGCATTGTGTGTTTTTAAAAGAAAAAAATGAAAAAGATCAGTTAAATTAGTTTTTTCCCATTATATGGATATAAAATATTCATAGTTTATTAAATATGAAGGTTCCTTAGACGTTGTTTCCTGCAAATGACGCGATTTTGGCCCCAGAACCGGGTCCGTGGGGCTTAAGAGGTGTATGTTGTGCTAACTAATATTAATTAAGTTCATTACATTACATTACATTGCATTTAGCTGACGCTTTTATCCAAAGTGACTTACAATAAGTACATTCGACCAGGAAGACACAACCTTGAAGAAAACAGAATCATATAAGTATATCAGGTTTCATAGAGCCAAACATTTCAAGTGCTACTCAACTGGCTTTAGGTAATCCAGTCCTTTATTGGTATAAAAGTGCTTCGTTAATCGTTCTAACGCTCGAAGTGGAGTCGAAAGAGATGAGTTTTCAGTTTGCGCCGGAAGATGTGCAAGCTATCTGCCGTCCTGATGTCAATGGGGAGCTCATTCCACCATCTTGGAGCCAGGATAGCAAACCCACGTGTTTTCGCCGATGGGAACTTGGGTCCCCCTCGCAGCGAGGGCGCAACGAGTCGTTTGGCTGATGCAGAGCGTAGTGCACGCGCTGGGGTGTACGGTTTAACCATGTCCTGGATGTAGGAAGGGCCAGATCCATTCGCAGCACGGTAAGCAAGTACCAGTGTCTTGAAGTGGATTCTAGCAGTTACCGGAAGCCAGTGAAGGGAGCGGAGGAGCGGAGTGGTGTGGGAGAATTTAGGAAGGTTGAAGACCAGACGAGCCGCTGCATTCTGGGTGAGCTGCAGAGGTCGGATGGCACATGCAGGTAGACCAGCCAGGAGGGAGTTGCAGTAGTCTAGGCGTGAGATGACGAGAGCCTGGACCAGAACCTGAGTCGCTTTCTGAGTCAGCTGGGGACGTATCTTCCTGATGTTGTAAAGCGTGTATCTGCAGCAGCGGGTTGTAGCAGCGATGTTTGCAGTGAAGGACAGGTTGTTATCTAGGGTCACACCCAGATTCCTTGCAGTCTGAGTCGGGGAAACAACTGAGGTGCCGATGTTGATTGTCAGGTCAAGAGTTGGACAATCTTTTCCCGGGAGGAAGAGCAGCTCAGTCTTGTCAAGGTTGAGTTTGAGGTGGTGAGCAGACATCCACTGAGAGATGTCAGCTAGACAAGCAGAGATGCGTGCGACGACCTGGGTCTCTGAGCGGGGAAAGGACAGAATTAATTGGGTGTCGTCAGCGTAGCAGTGGTAAGAAAAACCATGCGGGCTAATGACTGATCCGAGCGAGTTTGTGTACAAGGAGAAGAGGAGGGGACCAAGAACAGAGCCCTGAGGGACCCCCGTAGTTAATTGACAAGGGTCGGACTCAGACCCTCTCCAAGTCACCCTGTAGGTACGGTCTTTCAGGTATGAGGTGAGGAGGGAAAGTGCAGAGCCAGAAACTCCAAGTTTTTGGAGAGTGCGAAGGAGGATCTGATGATTCACCGTGTCGAATGCAGCAGACAGGTCCAACAGGATG